GACTAATTTTGAAAGTCCTATATTTTTTGCACCCGATCGCCATCGCCAGTTCATCAACATTTATACGAAAGCAAGTAATGGTGTGTGGCAATAATTCAGGCGAAAATTCCATTATACAGACCTTGTCGTGACCTTGGCTGGCAGCACGATGGAGGGGTGTTGCACCGTATTTATCTGCAGCATTTACCTCAGCTCCGGCTTCAAGAAGTAGGTGAACAATCTGAAACACGGTTCACAGCATGCAACACGCTAGCAACACATTTTCAGCCAGGGAAGTATTCCCTCGTCAAGTCTAAGAATTACCTCTCTGTGATTCTTACTGGCAGCATAGTGCAAAGCTGTCTGGCGGTTCACATTTCTGTGATTTACATCCACCTAAATAAAAGCAGGTCACATAATTCAAGCGATAAAGTCCCGACCATAACAATTTCCTCAAGGGTTTCTCCAAAACATTACGAAGATTATAAGATGACTCTTTATTCCTTCTGTTAGGAGGAATAACGGGCAAAGAGGTATTGAACCTTCTTGCCTTGGCCAACCTTTCAAAAAGTGAGGAAGCTTTAGAAAAAATGGGAAACAATAGAGCATGAAGGGAAGAACAAATATATAATAGAAACTGAATACGTAATCTATTACAGTAGAGAAAATAAAATAGAAGTAGTAAAAATACGGGAATAACCGATATCAAGTATTTTCTTTTCACTCAGTACTGTAGATATGGAGATGCATGAAAAAAGCATTTCAAGCAAATTTTTGCAATATAAAAATTCGTTCAAAAAAGGGTAGCCTACTATCAAAAAGAATGATAATAACCATGTGGGAATTCGTTGAAATGTACCTGTGGAAGAGACAACAAGTACCGCACAACTTCAACTCGTCCAGCCGATGCAGCTATCATGAGGGGAGTCCAGCCCATCTGAAAGTCGTAATAGAGCCATCAAATTAAGGCCAACTTTCAGTAAAAGTCCCCTCAAATAGGAAAAAATGGTATCGGCGAAAACTTCGTCAATTTCAAAAATCATGCAAACATGGAAAGCATTAGTAGCAACAAATACCTATTGTGGACCAACAACAACTTCCAAAAGACCTGCAATGACTAGCCAAGGCACTAGTCCGTTCGAAAATCAGCTGAGAGCTCAGCTATGGATGTGTCTAGCTTGCAGGCATGCGATCTTGTTGTTCCCTTTTGAAGCGGCAAAGGTCTCTGGGGACATGACTTCTTCCCGGTTTTAAACACTTCCGCCATTCACGCCAAAAGCATGCTTCTGTTGCATTCATTTTAGATCCGAAGAATCAGAAAGTAAAAGACATTCACTCTTTTCTGGATTAAGTAGAAAGTTGATTATTCTTCAGTTATATAGGGTTCTATGTTGATGCAATCTAATAAAATTGTCTAACAAAAACAGTGAATAGAAGTAATTCAAAGAGATCTATGATCTTATGCTCATAAAATATCATGAAATTAGGTAATCTTACATCATCAGTACGACTAGCGGCCGATTTGTCCTGCGAAATGGACAACTGTAGAATGGGTAGACAGCCTCCGACTGCCGCGAAGTGAGGTGTACTTCTGCCAGAGTCATCTGTGGCTTCGAGAATCCCTTCAACTCGAGTTACCATGCGTTTAGCCGCCTGAATCACGTATAAATTATAAATCGGTACAATCATTACTTAGTGAAATCGGAACATTTCAGAGTCCATACCTCATCATTTGATTGCCGCAGAAGTTCGGAGTATTCACGCACCAAGTCCTGCATTTTCACAGGTGGGCTCTCAGTGCTATCGACTTCCATTTCTGCGGCAGCCGTTCTTCCTTACTCGGGAAAAGAACAAATAAAGTAGGTAGTTGACTGGATAGCTGCAGAAACAACACATTAAAAGGGCAAAACGGCAGCAACAAGCAACTAAACGACATCGTCTCTATTGCCCTTTATCCACCATTGGAAAATATTTACAAACCAAAAATATCACAGACAAGTCCAAAGTGTAACAGAAAACATTATCTACGGTATCACCATAACCAAAACTTGGACAATATCCTCTTTTGTAAAATATAATATATCACAGCGAAGTAAAATATTAAGGCTATTGCTACGAGTATCTTGTCAGTCAGTTCTCTTCGCTCGTACTTGGACAGAAGTTTGTTACCAGTCTGGAAATGAAGCCATCAGAATGGAGCTTCCACTACGGGCAGATGCAATCATTAGAAATGCCGAATTTGTGTCACAATTCGCGCAGAATACGTATGCGCTCGAGGAAAGGCATGCTTGGTTTGGTTACGAATGAGAAAAATGATGCGGTGAGCGGAAATCGGAATGCGACAAGAGCAAAGTTAAAAATACGGTAAGACTAGAAGAACGCTTTGTTCATTCGTGAAATCAGGAATGCTAGTCATCTAGCCACTAACCAGTAAGACTATAACTATAACACGCCCTGGAGATCAAAGGGGGGGGGGCACATCCACGACGGGATAATATTTTCATGCGTAAATACTATAGTAACACAATGAGCAAAGTACTCACCTTTATGTGTCCGGCATGACTTTCAAACTCTGAATGGGTTTGAACAAGAACCGAACTCGAATGAATTAAGCTGTCCATAGTTTGTTCACTTTGGGCGACTCGATCTCCCATTTTCGAAAGGAGATCCGACAGACGCTCCGTAGTCTATAAACGATCATAAGAACCCAAGGTAGGTGTACAACAAGAGGGAAGTGGACGAAGAAAGGGACTACCTTAACAGCATTATCTCTAATATTTTTCTCATCCATATTGAATTTCTTTGGTTTCGTAGAGCCTCCTTCAAGTAGTGAAGAACGTTCTGATTCACCTACAAGTAACAGTATTGATAGCAACCAAAAATAATGAGGATTTCGTATGTGATTTCGAAGTAAAGCTGTCTTAGCAGAATATGCATGGAACCTACTAATAGCTTTTCTGGCTTTGATAGTGGCAGATCTCAGTTGTTGCTGGTTCTCAACCAATTCTTTAGCATGGCGCTCACAATTTTCACGAACACTTTGTTGTTCTCTCCGAGAAGCCAACTGGAATTCAATCAAAGTTACCAATACAGAATCTCTTTCTTAGGCGGATAGACATTCTCCTTAGTAGGGCTTAGCATCTCACCAGTCAGAGGTTGGTGCTTACTTCCGGCTATCGCAATTAATTACGAAGCTCCTTTCTTTCACTGCCGCTTCTATCAACTTCCAAGCATACCATAGACAACATTTTCCTGCCTTTCTTTCTGATATTGCCTTTTACCTTCATACCTTTAGCTACCTCTCTCTCATTACAATCGAGTTCTGCTAGAAAATTTTATTGGTAGTATTTGCTGACACATAAAAATCTTTCTTCTCACAACATTCTAATCGCCATCTTTGTGCCACACTATATATTAGATTGATGCATAATTATTGCGTATTCTTTTCAACAAATTTCACTTAACGAAACGATAAAAATACTGAAAAAAGCATATTCAAATAATTACTCCGGAACCTATCCACCATCTACGACGAGCGCTGCTTCCCACTGGCTAGATAGTCGGATTCCAAAAGCGAAGAAGTTTCGATCTTTGAAGGGGATCCACGCCTTGACGTCAGCCCCAAATCATCCAAGTCGACGTAAGTTCTATTCCCTAGTCATTTGTTCATCGAACGGTTGACGATACAATCCCTAAAAGTTTCTGCTGGTGAATATGGCAGATTTTGGGTCAGATCCCATTTCGTGGTTGGCTTTGGCTGATTGTTCCATCGTCGAAAAGTTACTGAATTCGCTTAATGACTCTGCCACCTTCCAACCTTTCCAGAAGTTGTAGAGCCTAATTTCGCGAATGTAAGGATGGTTTTTAAGTATATTTCTGTAGAGAAAATTAAGGAGATCTTAAAAAAAAACCCGAACTCAGTATTCAAATTCTATCGAGGGAAAAAACCGTGAAAAAATCCGCAGTATTTATGCATCAACCTAATAGTTTACATTACTTTATGCATAATGAAACGATTCGCCAGTCCCTGACTGCATGCCTGTCCTCGTAGGCCTTCTTACTTCACTCAGAACTAATTCTAACAACACAGAACAAAAAAAAANAAAAAAAAATAAAGGTAAGCAACGATTGTAGAAGGCGATGATTGCTCCTGGTGAAAGGGATCATGCTTGTAAATTCGTAACTTGATTCAAACCGCAGATATAAACTGCAACTCGTCAAATGCAGTATCTCGGATTTTCTGGTGCTCGTCACTCATTTTTAAATGTAGAAAAGATTCAAATTGAAAGTAAACATACTTTTGATGATAGACCTTTCAGCATATCTATCTTGCCTCCTAAAGATGTCAACAATTCTTTTGTTTCGCGCATCTCTTCGTGAAGAGTTCGCTCATCTCGAACATTATCCCTGAAAATCAATCCTGTAAACGAGAAAACTCCTGCTTTATTCTCAGTCCTGACAACAGGTTCTGAAATGTATAGCTCTTTTAGCCAACGCTTCGAAATCCACAAAATTTTACTTTTCAGGGTTTCTATAGCGAAACGTTACATCAGATCTTCCAGCTATCTTTGAGCGTACGCCTTGCCAAGCGAGAGTTTATTCCAAGTCAGAAGATGGAAATAAAGCACAACAAGATGAACTCGATACCCCTTTTGCCTCAGAGAAATTAGTGATTCAGATAAAAATTTCCAGAAAAGAATGCTGAACTACTGACATGATGTTATCAATCGCCTGTTTCGCCATTGTATCAAGTCGAACAATCTCTTGATGAAGCAAATGAGCTTCCATAGCCGTTCGATCTGCCGGTGGTGCCATAACGATGAACAGTTTCTATAGAATTAGCAAAGCTGAAGGCAAGGTAAGGTGAATTTCGGAGGAGCTCAACATTCTTGTTGAAGTTCACGAAGATTTTGAATTTCATCACGGTCATATGATTTCTATACTCCGAACAAAAAGCAGCAATATTCATGAACATAATCAGAATAAGAAGTGTGATCTATCCAACACATATTTATTGTATAAAAGCATTCCAACAACATAGCTCCACCCTAAAGTGTTGAAATAAGTTTTGTCCTGAGAGAAGATGTTCATTTTCGAGATGAAATTCTTCCTATTCAGACAAGATCTCGCAGAAATCTCTTTCCATCACTTCAAGAATCACTTAGTATTCACGTTATACACTATAGGACTGCTAAAATTGTGGACTAGTTGCTACGTTATAGGAAACAAGGCCAACGCTCACACCAAGTACTTGACCAATACTAAACTTATCATCTAAGTTCGCAGCAGCTAACTTGCGTAAGGTAAACAGGGAGAAGTCCAGTGAGAACGCCTTTATGAGACCTGAATTGTATGAAGTTGGATGACTACAGTTTTGAAGAAAGACTTGCACCATCACCGCTGAGCCAGTTTTTTGCAAAAAGCAATGAGAGAAATATGTCGAAACCAATGATGAATCTTTTAAATAGACCCTTCCTTAAGCTTGGTATGTTTTCTGTAGACAAAACTTGCTCACCTACCTAACAAAGTGCAATTTATCAAACAATAAACAACATAAAGCAGTAAACAAAATCGATACTCAACAAAAGGCATTATGGTTGAGCAACTGAAAGATTTTACAGGCTTTGGAAATGTTTTCAACTAGACCTAACTATATTGCGACTAGACGAACTAAACTAAGTGTTCTGAGCTCGCTATTGCCACCGATCATACATCGAAGCCAGCATCTCGCATGCACTTCTTGTGAGCCTCAATCAATTCACCGCAGTTCTCTTCACCATTTTCGATTATACACTGGTCGCGAGCCTGAAAAGAAGTGAAACGATCAACTATGCAACGGCAATGCAGTCAAATTCGTTGCGAGAATACAAAACGGAGCTGTTGTCAGGAGAAAATCTCAAAAAAGGTTTATTCAGTTTAGTTCACCATATGAAGCCCACTGAAATCCTCTGAAACAAGCTCGACTATGAAAAGATGCTTAGTAACGGGTCATCTTAATTTCAGCATGCCTTCGAATCTGCGACGTGCCAAATGAGATAAACTCTCAGAACTGCAAGTTACCACAACGCTTGGAGCGATCGTACGATCGCTATGCGCTCTGCGTTCTGCTACAATGCGCTATAGCAAGTAATGTTCGTCGCTCTCTCGTTCACTGATTCTAATGAATGTCGATTTCGATTACAGTTTTTCTGTAAAGCCTCCTTGGGTGCTCTACGTGCTGGAAAGAATTCGGTCGAGTGTATGGCAGTAATGCAGCTTCTCCTCATCAAGATGATATTTATTAAAGCTTAAACTACGCACTACGCACGCATTATCGATCGCCGTTTGTGGGCTTTTTGCGAAAGGAGACGTGAGCACATATAACTACCGCGGTGAGGATTGAGTGGTTTCATCGATGTAAGCTTCTTCTAATTAGCAAAGTTCAAAACACCTCTTCTCAACCATCTGCCTTACGATTTGTAGGTCTGAAAACGTCTTACGGCCCGCGCGACGCTAGCTCGGAGAGCGGAGAGAAAATAAGTAGTAACTTCTATCCACCCACAACCTAAAGCTCACGAAGCTCACGCGACAATTCAAAGTCCCTAGTCCACTGTGGACCCTAGATAACGGGCAAGGGATGAGTCAGTCCTGATTAGGAGAAACGATCATTTCCGTAAACTATATAAGTGGACAGGTAAGAAAAATTGAGAGATGGTCTTGCTACCTATCCTAGGTGAAGAAATTTATAGTCATGAAGAAATGCTCTTCTGCAAAAGAGTGCAGAGGGGACAAAAAAAGAGACACTTATCACGCGCACAATTGATAGCAAGTGCACGTTGTAGATTTCACGAACATAAGGGTAATCAAAAAACGAATTCCTCTTGTTTCCCTAGTGCCTAATAACCAATTATTTCCTAATTTTTGAGTTGATGCAAGCCCAAGCCCTATTTAAGCGAAGCGCTTCTATTTGATTACCCAAGCTATAATCTAAAACAAGTCATCTAAATGATCCATGCATGTCAAAGAGACAAGATTCTGGTACATAACACCCAAACAGATAAGGCGATACCTTCTTGGTTTCAGGACATGCGCAACATGGTTTCAGTTTCTTTTCACCATCCGATTTTGACGACTTAGACTTTGAGCCTTTATCCTCCGGCATCACTTCTTTCAAAAACTGAAATTAGTTGCCAATATCACACATTGTAACCTAGGGAAGCCCACTAGCGGGCATAGCACGAGAATGACGCGAGCAGCCGCGACGCGGCAGGTTTCTCGGTGAGTTAGCCGAGCTCTCACCGAGCGGAAATACACTCCTATGGTTTCCGGCTTTCAAACGCAGTGCTCAATTATTTAATTGGTTACAGTGAATGGTGTAAAATAACAGTCGAATGCAATCCAAATAGATGTTGGACTTGACCAGAGGTCAACACAACATTACAGAACACTAATAAATATTTATGCACAATTCTCTTACGAAAAAAATCATTAGAGAAAAAGTTCTTCATATGAAGGGAGATGCCACCGAGAAAGTCTCCGACATAGAGCCGTGGCGAAAATTAGCAGCGGTAATTGACAAAGATTTTGTAGGACTGAGAAAGAAAAACAAGACCGTCGAAATGACCGGTACTTGCAGAAAATTATCAAGAAGGAATAAATGATTGCAAATGAGAAATCGATAACATATCAGTCAATGTTGAATGAGCAAGGTATTGATCGGCTCAAACTTCGGATTGGAATTCATGGTAATCGTACTGCATTAAATCTAACCCATCAGATGAACCCTAATGAAGATGGAAAGATGAACCAGTAAAAGAGCGCACAAACAGAATTACTTCATGTTAAGAGAGAATCGAATATTGCGTTTAGGAAAAAATGTAATCAGTTGCTTTTGCTAGGTCCCAGTTGTTACAGCTAAGCACTGAGATCGCCTCGTCCTGAAAGAACGAAATATGAAAAGTTCGGAAAATTACTTTCAGGTTTCGGGTCTCAAAATGGCTCAGTTCATGAATAGCGAAAAAAAAAATGTTAACATTTCGAGCCATGGGGTCGGTATGTGCTGTTTCACTAAGTCCGTCAAAAGAATTTTCGATTTTCCATATTACTTTTCGGCCAATAATGCTAGCTGTGGATATATAATAGCTGCATTGAGTACCGACAGCTTCCATCCCTCTTGGAGGAGTTTCCGATATTGCCATACTACATCCCCAAAAGTCGGGAAATAGAAGTTGCCAGGTCATCGTCTAGCCCCTAATTGTAAGACTCATGAGTAACCATCTCCCACTCTACTCAGCTAATCCTGCTAGGTCATAAAGGCGCTAATACACACCTTTACGAGTGGTACAAGTTCAGTGTTCAAATCTCCAAGTAGAGGAACGTGGTAGCTCTTGGGAATCACATTTGCTCGAATCAAACTTAAGAAGTCTCCAAATCATCACGAACTTCATTAATCTTGGGGACATAACTTTTGAGAAGCCATAATATTAGCCGCCAGCAAACCCGGGAGAGAAAAAGTCTTGGAGTTTCATGGCTCCTTCTATATCAGGTATAGCAAGGTACACCATGAAGCACGAAATCATCAATGTGTTTGATTATTGCAGCTCGACTATCTCATACAATGTGGTAGTATCACCGAAAAAAGTGGGATATATTCAGAGAGTAGTGAAAATTCATCTGACTGACTTAAAAGCATTGTGGAAAAGGCAAAGAAAAAGAACATTTTGACTCTATCAATGGATTTTNAAAATTCATCTGACTGACTTAAAAGCATTGTGGAAAAGGCAAAGAAAAAGAACATTTTGACTCTATCAATGGATTTTTAGTTATCCAAAAAGTACCTCGGCAACGCCCATGTCTCGAAGCTTTTCCACACGTTCCTTATAGTGTGGGTTCTCTTCGGCTTTCCCCTTCGCGTACTTGATTGTCCAATAAATTGCTGTTTCCTGAAAGTATTCAAAATTATGATCCTTCCGATTATGGTGAAGGAACCCTGAATCGGTCCCTTTAGTCGTTCGCACAGGGCACTGGTCAAAAGATAGCTTATCTTATCGCGCGTATGGGTCAGAATGGCAGCAATGCAAGAAACGGCATATCACAATTTTCGTAAAAGGAATGTAAAGGTAGAAGGAGCTGAAAGAAGTCGTGACAATAAAAGATTCACAATAACATTGCATCATTTCTCTGGGAATAAAAATAAATTACTCCGTTGCACGTAGGGATTCCTCTGCAACTTGAAACAGCTTCTCTTTGAACTAGCCAGCTAGGGTGAGTTCAAATCATGAACTAAAGTTATACTGGGCTTTAGTATCA